GGACCAAAGGATTATGTGAAAATATTGGAAATGGATTAAAATACATGGTGATTATGACGGTAGGGGTGCGGATTTTTTCCGGCGAACATTTTTATCTTGTGTATTATTATAGTTGTTGAAATATGATTTTTTTTCAAAACGGCATATATTAAGATTTTTTGATATATATGATCAGTACATGTCCTGGGATTGACAAATATGCATTTTATTTGGATTTTAAAGGCGTTTTGAGCTCCAAACCACAAGCGTCTGTGCATCCAAACACTATACCCTTGATATAATAAATCGCTGGAATCTTAACACTATTTGAAACAAATAATGTTACATATGTCGCTGCTTTCTTTAAATAAGTAATAAGTATATAGAGAAAGCATTGATATGTATATCATGTATATACATAACTGCATTATTATAAAACATATGTTTACCCTTTTTAAAAACGAAGATATCTTTTCCTTTCCGGGGCATATATTAATTTAAACACATTTTATTCGTCGTATACATGAACAAATTTTACAAAGCATTTAGAATCTACTATCAATACAAGAAAGGATTAGATCTAGATTGGAAGTAAAAAAGTGTTTTCCAATATATAAGTATTGTTTGAAGCGAATAATTGGTTTAAACATATTTATTTTGGCTCGATTGCGAAACAAGTTCTTGCAACTTATATTGATCACTTTCGTGTCCGCTTCCTGGAACCAACCAGCACTGATCTCATGTGAAGAAACATGGTTGTGACCCGAGTAGGGCTCGAACCTATGATCTCTGGGTTGAGAGGCAGACACCTTAACCACTAGGCCACCGCTTCCCTTAAGCGAATAATTGTGTCATGTGTTGACGAAGAAGGCTGTTCTGTTTCATCTAACATCGCAGATTAAGAAGATACTGAGCCTTAATTGTTAGATACATAGATATAAATTAATTATTTAAAACACTATATGCTCATGAGTTCAGATGCAAAGAAAAATAAGATAGAAACGAAGAACCAGGTTTGCATTATCACCATTGTAGAAAGATCTGTTGTAGTTGAAATACAAATACAAGCAACGAACAATGTAGCTATGTGCAATGTCAATCATAAATAATGAATTTTCTATTTTTAGTAACAGAAACCTTGACCCTTGGGGAATAAAAGCCAGTCCATGTGAGGTCTTTATAAAAACTTGCTTTACACCAAATTTCATAAAAATAAGTTATTCAAAACTCTAGTTATTGACCGTAAACCTATTTTCTATTCTTAGTAACAGTGACCTTGAACTTGACCTTAGCAGGACCAAAAGCAATCAAAAACAAGATATTTACATATGCTTGCTATACACCAAGTTTAATTGAAATATTTCATTCTTTACTCTAGTTATTGACTGTAAACAGATTTACTATATGACCTTGACTCTACAGGACCCAAAAAACAGGCAGATGAGCTGGCAGGCGTGCAACAAACTAGATAGTTTCCGGTCAAAAACTATATAAAGATGGTTAAATGCTGCAGTTGTGATTAAAAGGATATCACTGTAATAATTACATTACAAAATTTACATTTATGAAAAAAGGGCCATAATCAGGTAGAAAAAATATCCACTTACAAAACCCTGACAATATGCGTAAGGACACTGTCTTGATGACAAAACTTTTGTGAAAGTTTGAACAAAATCCCTTGAGAAATGTAGAAGTTGCGCGCATAAGAAATTGCTCACTATATAGATCTAGCTTATGTATATATATAAGGAAAAAAAAACAAAGGGCCATAATAACGTAAAAAATGATCCACAAAACCCCTATAATATGCATCAGGGCACTTGATGACAAAGCTTCTGTAAAAGTTTGGTCAAAATCCCTTGAGAAATGTAGGAGGATTTGCCAACAGAAGAAATTGTTCACTGCATATTCTTTATAAGGAGAAAAAAAACTAAGGGCCATAATGAGGTCAAAAATTACCCGATCATAAAACCCTGATAATATGCGCCAGGGCACTTGATCTGTGAAAGTTTGGTTAAAATCCCTTAAGAAATGTAGAGAAGAAATTGTTTACGTCCGCTCGCCCGCCAACATACCCCAATCTAATAACCAGTGTTTTTCCTTCGGAAAACCTGGTTTAAAATGACCAGTGATTTAATCCTTATATATTTGATAATTTTGGCTAAGTAAAAGCGATTTGACTTTTCAAGACATTTGTGAATTGCAAGAAATACTTTCTCATTATCTGTATCTGTTTCCAAAAAGAAGTATTTAATTTGATGATTAAGCTAGAATAACTTGTAAGATGAAAGTTTGTCATGATATATCATCCACATAAAACTCTTTAGGGGCAACACAGAGAAAACTTGAGATCACAGGTCCCGCTGTAGGTTCGTTCCTCACTCGGGTCGAAATCTTTCATGTGAGGAAGCCATACAGCTGGCTTACGGAAGGTCGGTGGTTCTACACAGGTGCCCGCCCGTGCCTGAAATAATGCCCGAAGGGCACCTGGGGTCTTCCTCCACAAATAAAAGCTGGAAAAAATCGACGAAAAAATCTCGGCGGGACGCTCTAGGATTAGGCCCGACTTGAGTGTACGGTCGCCCATATGGACTTTCCGGCGGCAACCTTTAATACACGCATTGAAAAAAAAATATTAAAAAAAAATTAAGTAAAAAACATTTTTGATTAAATTTATTTTAAATGTTCAAGTTATAAACGGAAAAAATAAATCATAACATAACGTGGTTCGAACTCTGGAAGCTCTGTAACATTTTTTAAAGGAACGAGTTTGAGTTGGTTACGACTAGATTCAAAAGAAATCTCATGCCACTTCAGGCATAAGTAACAAGTTTGGTTAGTTGCATCCGATATAATACAAGCTACGTACCTCTTACTGAACTATCTCGATAGTTTCTTGTACAGTTATCGAAGTTTTCATCACTGTAATAATAGTGGACGGATGAAAGTCATAATAATTTTTCCAGTGAGAGACGATTAAGGGCAAATTTCAACTTTCACGTTACAATTATACTTTTGTGGGCTTTCTCAAATTATATAACTCATCTGAGATCGGAGTCTGGATAAAGTGTGATCCCTCAGAAGCATTAATCACAATGAAATAACATGAAAATATCCTACTCGGTTTGATTGAGTCCGTACATGAGGGAAATTGAAAAGTTCAACAACCCTCAAGCCCACTTGCACCGACCCCAGCGGTACTCAATTTTAAACACTTGAATGAGCAGCAATCAATGACCCCGGACCAGAAAAATATAACAACACTGAAGTGAAGTACAGGGCATTTTTTTCAACTGCCACACATCACTTGACACCTGCATGCTTTTGTGAAGTTTAAAAATCGAGATAAAGTGTGATCCCTCGGAAGCATTAACCAAAACAATACAAATTACTTGAAAATAGCAGACTCAGAAGACAAGAATACGCAAAAGTGTTTCAGAACTAGAAAGGTTTATCGGATATTATTGTAAAGGATTCCAAATTTGAGGTGAATGTTCAGTATGCTGGAAAAGACGCCGGAGTGTTCCTTCGTTCATTTAAGTGTTTGACCTCTAAAATAATCGTTCAATATGTCCGCCTTTGTCTTCTTGTCTTCAGTTAGCATATCATCCTCTTGCTGAGGCATATTGTGTCTTTAAACTAAGAAGCTCAAAGACTGAACCTTTTCGAAACAGCAGAGGCATGATTAACGTTGCTTTTATAAAGGACAATGTTACATGCTAAAGAATCTCAGCACACGACATAAAAGTTTCATACAAGAAGACTTGAAAATATATGGAAAAGGTGATCCCGCATGATTGAGACTGTACATGAGGAAAAATGCGACAGCCCTCACATCCGCTTGCACCAGCTTTTACTATATAAGTCTATGTTAACTAAGTGACCACTTAGGAGTGGTCATCATTTTTGACAGTCTTGGAGATAAAAAATTGCAGACTCAGTTAAAAGTGCGATCCTCTTAAAATCTATATAAATAAATAAACCCAAGGGTTGAACCAATTTTGACCTAAATTATTACTGTTATCTGGAAAGTAAAGCATGTCAACTCACGCTTTTAATTAGATTTTTTTCTGTTTGCCAATCAAATTAATTTGAGCAAACTTCAAAAAAAATGTTATACAAAGTTTATGTAGTTTATGTAAGTTTAGTTTATTAATTCAGTAAATGTTTAAAAGTTTTTTTTTCAGTTTTAGCTGCCCCTAAAATGAGCCAATGAAATTAATATTCTGAGCAAATTTGATAAAAAAGACTACCTAAGGATGCTACAAAATTGAACCATTGTAACAGATATAGTTGTATTAACATACAAATAGATCTTATGATACTATAGGACTGCAATGTCTAGTCATGAATAAATCACACTTTCTTGCAGGCGCGTAGCTAGCCTATAAAGAATGTGGATTCAAAATAATCTAGGGAGGTCAGGGGGCATACCCCCCCCCCCCCCCTGAAAATTTTGAAATAAATGGTGCAATTTGGTGCGTTTTGGGGCCTCCGGAGAGCTTTCTTGACCAACGAAAATCCATTTATTTTAGCATAAAAATGGAGATGAATAGCTTTACTTTCGTTTATTTCAACTAGTCTACATTTCACAGCAAGTCTAACTTGCGGCCTTTGTTCTTTAAGAACTCGATGTAAACATTTGTTTACATTTCGAAAATACGGCGCGTGCAAACTTCCGACTTTGAAGAGCTGCAAAGGCCGACAACTTTTCAAAAAAAATACTACGGTATGGTGTACGATTTAGGCTATATGATTTATAAAGTATTCAGTGTGGTAATTATCAGATCTGGCGAACGCGGCTGAATTTCAAACCACATTTTTTTTACTAAAAAATTTTTGTTTTGTCAAAATAATGTGGATTCAGCTGCGTACTCGCGTATAGGCAGCTACGCGCCTGTCTTGTTTATTGCTTTGCACCCAATCTTATTACTATTTAGGTAAAACACACATACATATTACATTAAGAACGTCTTGAATAGTGTGAGAGTTTATAGAATAGTGAAAAATTGAGTTACGCCCCTTAGATTACATTACACCCTGGTCTGTTGCATAATATGTACCATCTATAACTTTTATTAAAAGTGAATTTGTCACTTTTATGAAAAAGTAAGTGCCTTTGCTGTAATTCCATATTTATTTAGTTCAGTAGCACAATATAAGTTTGCTGTACCTATTAGACTGAGTGATGAAGTATATAGTTCCAGGCAACTTTAGTAAAGACTGAGTTATATTATGTAACGTTAGTATGTAAATAATATCTCCGTCCTCCTTAAAAACCATTAGTGCTGTACTTAATGACATGGGTCTCTCTAGCTCGATTTTTCTTTACCATTCTATATCATATATATACAGTACAGACTATGTACAATGCGAAAGAAAAAAATCGAGTTTTTAAATTCTGTATGTAGATCTACGTATGGAGGCTATTCGTTGCCAAAAATCCAGCCTTGTTGATCTGAATTGAACTTTGTTAATGGACACAATACAACTTTGTATGTGAACTCCAATGTTGCATTCTTGGATTTAACATTGTAAACATGAATTTCAACAAAATACATTTTGTTAAACGACAAAACATTTAAAACCGTAGCAATACCAAGTGTTCGAATAATCTTTGTTCGTGTATACGCCGACAAAACAGAAGTTACTTTCTAAGCTTTACCTTGTACGCACATCGGAATAACTGTACAAGTTTGAGGTTTGAGGCAAGCCTTAAAATCATCTTTGTTTCCCACCAGTTAGGGTAGGGTAGGTTGGACGGTGAAATATTATTTTTGTGCAAAATGCTTTTTTTTCTTTCAAAATTATATGGAGTTCAAACAAATTGTGAATGAATATATAGACCAAGTAGCATCTGTTTAAAGATTATAACCATATTTTCAGTTTTATTCAACATATTTATTCCAGTTTGTAATTAAAAGCATGAGAAAGTTATAAAGATGTGATTCTCATTTACACTCTCTGTTTCCACATTGAGTTAAACAAAATTCTTATGCAATTTTTTGAGTAGCTGTGACTTTTGTGGGTTGGTAGCAGGATGGGAAACTAACAATATTATGTTTTAGGCCTAGTAAATTAACGATTTTAATGAAGTTTTGTTAAACGAAGAAGGATTCATATTTTAAACAAAGTTAGTTGATTAAATTATCTTTACTTGTTGACTGTCAAATTGGACCATAAAATAATCTGGAAATTTCCTCACACAAAACTTCTGTTGTAATTTCATCCAACCTTTATAGGAATTATCAGCACCAAGTCTAGTTTAGTAGTTATGCATATCGTCACTCGTCAGAGTTTTTCGGTTCAATTATTCCTGTCAGAGTAATGACCCTTAAATGATTTTTATTTTTAAAATTTGTTTGGACTAATTCTCTTATACCACTAATGCAAATTCATTAAAATTTAAGCTCGAGCTCAAGTACTTGTGGATCTTACAGGTTTTCCCGTTAAATGATATTTGTCTGAGTTATGGTCCTTGAATAAAAAAGACGCTTAAGCCGGTTTATCATTTTTGTGTCGCCATATACACAGAAGCTGGAAGATGCTTCAAAATATTGCTTCTTCATTGTCCGTGTGTCTGTCCATCACAAAACTTGTCCAGACTACTGCTAAAAAATACTGATGCAATTTCATCCAAAGAACCAAGTCTAATTGTGCATATCCTTTACATTTTAAAGTTTAATTATTTTTGTCAATGTTATTACCCTTTAATGATTTTTAAAGTTTTGTAACTACTTCTGTTATACTGCGAATGACATTTGAGTGAAACATTACAGGATTGATCGTTACCTCGAGTACTTGCATTATTTAACAGGTTATCGGGGTGAATTTATTTTTGCTGAGTTATGGCCCTTCTTTGAATGGAGTATTCTAATGTTGCTGGAAAGTTGTTTCCAAACCCATTTGCGGTTTGTTATGTACTCATCATTTATATAACATTTTATATGTATGTGCTGCAATAAAATTTGTTAAAACTAAAATTAAAAAAGCGTTTTTGGCCTGTTTATGATTTTTATGTCTCCTGCTACAGGCGCCTACTTCTATACAACTGGCCAGTCACCCCTCGTTGAATACAACTGCTTAATTGCCTATTATCAGGCGACACATGTGATCACTGATCGCCCTTGTTTTGTTTTCACGAAATATTTTTCCAAAACTAAGTGTCGTTTACCTTGAAGTTTATTTACTCCCAGTTACACTGCAAAATATATATTTCGTAGTTTTTGTCTAAAGATTATATGTAAACGTTTCCCATTGAAATAAATGAAAATCGCACTTACAACGAACGGAGATAACTGTCAGAATGTGACGCGATTGTTAAAATAATTATTTTCTATAAGTGAGACAGTATTCGACTTTCTTACTTATTAAATGTCATTCAAATCTAATCAGTTTTTTTATCATTTCGAGCAGATTATGGCAGCGAGGAACATCGACCTGTCTAATGACCAAATACCTGAGGATTGTACGAAAAGTGTTGTTTATTTGATGGGATCATCAAAAACAGATAAATTTGAAAAGTGGTTGAAAAGATATCCGCCATCCAAAGTAACAAAGTTTGTATAAATTTATTTTTCTAAATGAACACACGAATAACGCAGGCATGATGTAGAGTGCTTTCAGCATTGTAGAAATACTTAACGTTAAAGCAGCCCGCCTCCAGATGAGCCGAAATATTTAGAGAAAATCAGTATTGAAAAAAATGTACTAAAATTTAAGAAAGGTAAAAAACATTCATGATCCATGTTATATTTAACTTGTCATGTCCGATTTAAGACTGATTTTGCGGTACTTTATCATCATATTTCTACTGCGCTACTTACGAAGTAAAGGCTGTTTTTGAATATGTTGACCATTTTTTGGAAATTTTCTTGGATGGTACATATGTAAGTGCAATATGTAAATTGCTTTATTTGTTCACCTCACAATATTTTACTTTTAAAAACATTTCCAAAATTTTCATGAAAATTAACATGAATCTGGAGGCGTGCTGCTTATGCACAAGGTTTTCATATCAAGTTGTGACTGATTAAGTTAAAAAAGAAGAAAATTTATAAGAGGACATGTTTTCCACAGACACTTGGTGTTATTTGAAGTCGCCCCTTCTTGATCTGGGCCCCCTGAACTACAAACGCATCTAATTTAATTTTAAACCCCCGTAAAGTCCAAAATTTTTTTTTGCTTAAAAATTTCAAAATTTGTCAAAATTCCCCTTTTTGATAAATTTGTTTTTCGATATTTTGACGGCGAGATGAAATAAAAGCATGGGTAATTATATGAATTTTTCAAAACGTAGTTTAAATTTTGGTTTTTACCTTTTTTTTAGTAGGGATTTTTACCCTATACTAAAAATAAGCTCCCAAATTTAAAAACAACCAAATTTTTTTTGCCCTTAACATCTTTCAAAACCTCCGGACCCCGGTTAAATGCGGGCCCTTTTTTTTTTTGCAGATATAAAAAGTGGGGCCCAAAGGGCATTAAATGACTTTTTTTTCATAAACCCCTTGAAACAAATTCATCAGTAAATTTTAAATTGGGTTACACTCCAGTCATAAAATAACGAAATGTGGGCAATTTTTTAAAGGGGTTTTTCCCTTTAAAAATTTTTATGTAACCCAAATTTCCCCTTAAATTGGGAAAATGCATAAATCCCTTTCCTTTTCTGTCCACCCAAATTTATATATGTTGGTCAGAAAATATACAAAAGGGAAAGGGGCTGCCCGCATTGCCCTGTTATGAACTTTTTGCTTTTCTTTATTCTGTAATGTTTTAACAAAATGCTTATTTTCAAGTATCTTCAATATATAGCGATGTATATTTTAACTGATTTCTGATACTTGAGAAATATAGTGATGTAACTTTTTTATAGAGAGGATGGCTTTACTTGGATATATGTTAAAAACGTGGAGAAAGAGGTAGAATATGCAGGTGATGGAAAGAAGGACCTCGAAGGGCTTTGTAAAAGCTGGAAAGAGCATCAGAAATCGCAACTGCCTGTTAATTATGAAACTTTGAAGGAACTTGCAATAAAACATAATACTACAACAGGAAAATGGATTTTGTTTACTGATTCGGGTGGAAAAGTTGATCACCTTTGGTCACTTATGGCGGCGACAGTTGCTGCATACGATAATCCGTGCTACACTGCAAAAGTTAGTGCTTTTGATAAGGATATAAATCATGTTATATGTATCTATAACAAGGATTTTACAAACATGGACAAGGTTTTAGAGTCAGAGAAAGCCATTCGTAGAATGGGAATAAAATGTAAACTTCAGTATAAACCGGATGTTTTTACATACCTAGATATCTATGCCAAGAATAAATGGAACCTTAAACCATTCATCATGACAAGTCAGTATAACTTACTTACTCAGTCGTCAATTATTGAAAATGTCATGTGAACAGACCTGTAATACAATAAGAAGTATGCTTATGAAAAAAAACTATATTAAATATGCTTTTTACTGTTATAATGAGAAGGACCCCGCAGTAAAGTGGTTTGAAACACTTGTCCACTATTATAGATTTAAAGAAATTACACCCAACTAGACTACGAACCGGTCAGTCTATCTGCTCAGGTGCCAAATTGTGCCTGAAATAATGTATGCGGGACATATGAAACATGACCTTCCCCGTGTGATGACAAGCCATTGAAATTTATTGGCATATCTTGTTTAAACGATGTATGATGTATAAATTATCTTTTGTAAAACCTGTTATCATCGTTATTCGAATTTATAACAAGGTGTTTAAAAATAATTACGTTTTGTCAATTAATCATTATCCAAAGAATAGACAAAGACATATTTCATGAATTTATGTAAAACAATTGCTATTGTGTATTTAAAAGTTTTCTTTGCTTGTTATATTAATTTTCCTGTTTTATTGATTGTTGTTTTCGATGAGTTACCAAATAAAGTAAACAAAGACGTAAAACATGCTCTTTGTCCTTATTTTTAGCTACTATATCTTCTTGTATATGATATGGAGAACTATCCTACTCATCCGAGCGGCGCTGTCACACTCTTTGTTAAGTGTTTCGTACCACCCGACTTTCCCTATACACTGAGGTACAATTTGTAATCTTTGAAACTTAACATAGTTTTGAAGGTCATCATTCCTACATCTGGGCACGAGGACATAACTTAATACTTTAAATAAGATGAAGACCGTTTTTCGGCTAAGATTTTAACTCCATGGGCACGCAGATTCGGCTGATAGCTCCATAGACACGCAACTATTGCTGATAACACCATAGACATACTGCTATTGCTGATAACCCCATAGACATACTGATATTGCCGATAACTCCATATACATACTGCTTTTGCTGATAACTCCATAGACATACAGCTATTGCTGATGACTCCATAGGTTTTAAGCTATTGCTGATAACTCCAAAGACATACAGCTATTGCTGATAACTCCATAGACATACAGCTTTTGCTGATAATCCCATAGACATACAGCTATTGCTGATGACTCCATAGACATACTGCTATTGTTGATAACTCCATAGACATACTGCTATTGCTGATAACTCCATAGAAATACTGCTATTGCTGATAACTTCATAGACATGCTGCTATTGCTGATAACTCCATAGATTTGAAGCTATTGCTGATGATAACTTCATAGACATGGAGCTATTGCTGCTAATGCCATAGACATACTGCTATTGCTGATAACTCATTAGATATGCCTCTATTATAAACAGCTGATCTTAGTAATGAAGCTATCGATGAAGATTTTATTTTTTTCCAGTCACTAAGGAATTTTGGGTCCTTAGGTCTAACAATATCAAATGATTATCAAACATAAACAGGGGTACACCTCTCGGTGTGTTTTTTTTATAGATACCAAGGTTTGTGTACACATCTAGTGTTTTTGCCACATAGAACGACTTTTAACTCTTTCTGTCCGTATTGCCATTTTCAGCATTTAAAATTTCATCTTAATAAGGGAAATCATTTTTATAAATTATTATAATTATAACGTGAGTTATGCGGTCATTGCCGACATTTGTGACATAATTGTCATACTTTCAACTTCTATAGCGTATATTATTCACGTTGAAATACGGGTTTTATTTTTTTTATAAATACTTTATCACCATACTACATGGCGAATTTTTATTAAGTAAACTTCACAACGCGCCCTCGGTAATAAGCGTTTTTCGCTCAGCGCCCCCGCCATTTTAACTTGTTAATTTTCGACTTTTCGCTTGGCGGGGTCGCGGGGCGAAAGCACGAATGGCACAAATCAGCCACCATAGTTCTACGTAATCAGAATGACTAAAAAGTCTTTCAGAATAATCATCATTAACCGAGCTTGTTTCTGATGGACACTGATTTTCTGCCATTTTTAGTGAAGGGTCTTAATATTGGATGTAAATCAAATAGAGTGAAATAAGAATCCCTAAAGAAAGCCCAACGCGACAAATTGAAAACGCTACAGGCTCGGTTTGATTGAGCCTGTTCATGGACGGTACTGTCAAGTGCAAACTACCGTCCACGCCCCCTAGCACCGGCTTAAGCAGAATTCAACATTTAAGATGAACTGATAAAATTTAGAATTTTGTAACATCAGCAGATGTGTTCAAATGGCGGTTATCATGGAACCTTCAATGAAACGGCGAATGGTTCCCAAGTAAAAAAAATGCATGTGCCCTAAACGAGAAAACAATGGGCGGAACTAAATAAAATGGAATTTTGAAATGGGATCTGAGGTTATGAAGCCTGCATATCACAGATATAACGTCAAAAGACAAATTTGAAAAGCAGGCCTCATATCCTAAGGGTGATTCAACAGTATTCAAGTGAGGAATACTGGAACCACCCAATAAGAAAGATGCCGAATAGATAGAACTTAAATACCACAAGCACAACAATAATGTCGTGGTGAACGATCTTTATTGATCGGAAATATAACATCCCTGATTGAATGTACGGGGCGACTTTTAACAGCCTCCATGTGGCGATAAAATAGAGTGAAATAAGAATCCCTAAAGAAAGCCCAACGCGGCAAGATTGAAAATGTTGCAGGCTCGGTTTCAATTCAATATTCACATATGTAGAAAAATACAATTTTTAACAGCTCTTTTACAAAAAGCAACAAACGAAAGAACGAAAAAAATGCACCAGTTTGGGCATTTGACATGTTCTTGAAACTTTTCGCGATCCGTTAAAAACTGTTATTCATATATCAGCTATCAACGTTAGTATTGGCCTTGTACTGAAACATTTCTATAAAACTTGTTTGGTGCGTAATAATACATAACTTTTAATCGTTATAAAGACATTTTCCTGTCGGTCTTCTAGCTTGCCATTTTTTTAAAAATATTAACAGATACTCAACGTTTTAATTTTTTTCTTTTCGAAACACTTCCTCCTTGTTTGTCAATGAGCGAAAAGAATTAAAACGTATACTTCAATAGTTTCTCGTCTGAATTCAATGATAAGTTTTGTTATCAAAATGATTATTGCTCAAATAAGATAACTTTCTTTTTGTTGCTCAGATATTATAACTTTCTTTTTGTCTAAGCAAGTCATACTGTCTGCCATTGATTGTTTGTATTTATCATATGACTTGTTTATATTACTTAATAAAGAATATTGAATCCTAAATATGCGAATAAAACAGTAAATTTCCGATTGAAAGATCATTGTCTGGACAGTGAACGTGGCCGAGATCATACTATAGCCATGGCACTTTCTTATTTTCTTGCATATCAGACAGGATTATCTACCGTTTCCACCGGTGCTAGAAAACTCTGTCTTACACCCCCATGTAAGACAAGTCGCGTGCGTTAAATGACGTCATTGACGCGCGCCTTTTATGAATGAATTGTGTTCTTAGGATGACGTCATTTTTCCGTTATGAATGAAGTTGTATGTTCATACGCTACTATAAGAAAAAAGTGCGTAATGAGAATATCAGTTTTCATAATTTCTGTTCCGAAAATGATTGACATGCAATATGCAAGAAAAAGAATCAAACACTGGCTGTCGGTGCAGACGGGAATATCTAGCTCTCGGGTAACTGTTTAGCAGAAACTCGGCAGAGCCTCGTTACCGCTGTAAACAGTTACCCTCGAGCTAGATATTCCGGTCTGTACCGGCAGCCGGTGTAAGATTCTTATAGTCGTCAACGAACTATATATATATATATATATATATATATATATATATATATATATATATATATATATATATATATATATATATATATATATATATATATATAGAGGATATTCAAGTTTTTTCTATAAATACATGATTTATTTTCATCGAGTGGTATGAAAATAAATATTTCATGAGTGGCGGTAGCCACGAGTGAAATATGGTAATTTTCATGCCACAAGATGAAAATAAATCATATATTTATAGAAAAAACTTGAATTTTCTGTTTATAATATACATTTTCTCTTTTTTTGACATTAAAATGTAAAAGACTTTCCTTAAATTTTGTGTACTGGCAGAATTTAAAAGAAAGTAGTCCGGCAAGATACCAGTGAAAATACGGAAAATATGTTTCACTGCAGTGAAAAATAAATTTTTACAGTGAAAATACGGAAAATGAAAATACGCATTTTATTTCATCAATATTTCTCAATATTTCATTTATAAGTATATAATAAATCGCATTATCGCCTTGTCGTCATCGCATTTCCGCACTGTCATCATATTGCGTTATCGCAATATCGTATTGTCGCCATCGCGTTATCGCATTGCCGCCATCGCGTTATCGCATTGTTGACTATCGCCTTCCGGTAAAACTGCCGACGAGTAAGCTGACGGTACAGAATATGGGAAAATAAATTTAACTTTTGTCAAGATATTATTTTTTTTCTTGTTTTTTTACTTCTTTTTTTGTTTGCTTCTCTTTCTTTTTTGTATACTAAAAACGTCTAAATATAATTGTAATTAATAAAAATAACATTTTAAATTAAAGATAGGGGGAAATACATTCGGAACTGCCTCGGCTATTATCTATAATACCCGAAGACTGACGGAAAGGGCCGAGTAGTTGCGATTGGGGGAAATACTGAATATAAATACACGGAAAATGTAATACACGGAAAATGTAATAAACTGTGTGAAACTTTTAAAAAAAAGTCGTAAGATTTCAGATGAAAATGATGTTATGTTGACATTTAAAAGATGCAGAAAATATTTAATTGGTCAGTAGTACATAGAGGATATTCAAGTTTTTTTCTATAAATATATGATTTATTTTTATCGAGTGTTATGAAAATAAATATTTCATGAGTAACGGTATTATTATATACTTTTTGCTCTTTTTGACATTACAATTTGAAAGTCTTGCCCTTAAATTTCTACCGCATCCGTGGTCGAGGGGTTAGAGTCGATAACTTCTGATCCAGTTACCTCTCTGGCGTGGGAGATGCTTTGCTAGTTTAGCACGGAGGAAGGTAGTCTAGTACTGGTGTAACTCTCCAGGAACGATGGTTAGGGAACTTTCCGCCTATATGACTAAAATACTCTTGGGAAAAGGCTAAAAATGAAACAAACCTTAAATTTCTGATATCGGATGAATCTAGTAGAAAGTAGTCCGGCAAGACACAAGTGAAAATATAGAAAATATGTTTCACTTCAGAGACAGTGTAAATACGA